GCTGCTGCCCACTCGCTGCTAAAAACAGGGGGGCTGTTCCTGAAGAGCAGCTCCTGCAGCCTCTGCGGAGGAGGAGGAGGAGGAGGAGGAGGAGGAGGCACAGGGGCACGGGTCAGGTCTCTCATCCCAGGATATAAGACCCCAGGGGATCTCGGGGTGCAGGTGCAGCCGCGTTTTTGGGGTCGGGCACTCGACAGGAGCTGAAATCCCTCACTGATGCTTTTCCAACCCAACAATTCTGTGATGCTGCCTCTCGTCCCGAGGCTGTTTGTCAGGGAAGTGCCAAACACAGGGAAACGCTGCCTGTTGTCATTTGACTGATTCTCTCTTGAACATTATTGTGCATCAGCTTTAAGGCTGTTCTGACTGTGAACAGTCTCCCAATAACCCACACCCAGTGGGTTCAGCTGAAATCGCATCTGCCTCACAACCCCACAAAAGGCTCCCCGGTCTCTTTTCCCCCAGGAGATTAAATTACAGCTCATATTTAATTCAGCAGGAGCTCACCATTGCCGTGTCCAAGGAAATGGGGCGGCCGTGCCGAGGGATCAGGAGGGGCTGGGGCGCTGTGCAGGGGGGATGGAGCCCCACAGACCCCCCAACTCCGGGTGTTTCACCCCCAGAACTGCTCCATCCTCGCTGCGGGACAGAGCAAACCGTGCATCACCCCGGGGCTGGGGCCTCCGCGCCCCAAAAATTCCCCCAAGATCGCCAGGGTGGGCAAAATGCCCGGCTGGAGGCTGACGGGGGATTTGGGGCGCGTCCCTTGACTTGCAGCTGTTTTCAGACATTCCCGACACATCCCTTGGGGCTGGTGTGTGGGGCAGGGAATTTGCGTTTGAATTAGCGGGAATTTGCGATGGAATTACCGGGAATTTGCGATGCAATTACCGGGAATTTGAATTAGCGGGAATTTGCGATGGAATTACCGGGAATTTTCGTTTGAATTACCGGGAATTTCGTTTGAATTACGGGGAACTGGCGTTTGAATTACCGGGAATTTGCAATGGAATTACCGGGAATTTCGGTTTGAATTACCGGGAATCTGCGTTTGAATTAGCGGGAATTTGCGATGGAATTACAGGCAATTTGCGATGGAATTACCGGGAATGCCCTTCAGTGTCTCTCAGCCGAAGGGCACAGCCGCTGGGTGCTCCGGTACTTACATTTTGGAGATCTTACTTTGTTTTCCTCTTTCGCGTTTTCTAAAACTCACCGTGACCCCTGTGGTTCTGAAATCTCTGAAGATATTTCAGATATTTGAGAAACAGACTGGTCCGTTTCTCAAAGGATCAGCACGAGAAATGAGTTTCCCCAGAGTCCTGGGCTGCAGGTACGGATGTGTGCCCTCCTCACCAGAGTGTCCCCAAAACTCACCGGACAAACAGAAAAAGTTACCTTAGGAAAAGGAGGCTCCTGATGAGCTGTGCTGYTGGTTTCCAGGCTGAAAACATAACATAAAGTAAAAATTTATAGAAACAAAAAAATCATTGCTGGAATGTGGAGAAAACAGACTCCAGCCAGAAGAGAATCCAATAAAAAAGGAAGAGTAAGAGCTGTAGTGTGAGGACTTCTTATCATTGTCGCATAAAGTAATAAAACATAACTTTAAAAATAACGTTAAATAACTACCTAAACCTGCGATAAGGAAGCAGAATGAAAATCTTACCCACGGAAACTGAAGATTTCTCTCCATTTGCTCAGATCGGAGATTTTGCGGGTGATCTCCTCCAGCTCAGCGCCGGGGTCACTCATGGCAGCGGCCGCGCT